TCGCTAGCTACCGCCGGTGGAGTTTGCGTGGTCTGGCTGCGAGCTTCCCCGAAGCCCTGTGCTGACCGAACCTGACAATACAAAGCTGTCAGCCTATTAAAAAAATTAAAGTTAGCCATTTTAAGGCTTTTTGGAAAGTTTGCTATACAACAAAAGGGACAGCATAATTAGAAAAACAGATACTGGCAATGTTCTCCTAGTGTGCATTCCGTATCAAATTTACAGGGTTTATAAAGATCATCCCACAAGAAAACCTGTTTTATAAGCTGCATCATTCTGTGATTTAGATTCAAAAAATCTTATTTGATATTTTAGTTTACAGACTGAAGTCACAGTTTCCTATTTTAGGTGTTATAGAAAACTATGTGTTGCTCCCTCCCCCCCCCCCCCATCCTGCAATCTTAGATGCAGAAGATGGAAACATCAGCAAGGTCAAGAAAAGGAACACAGGATTCATACTCTATTATTCCCTGTCACTCCTTCTTCCATGTATCAAGATAGTTTTCTTCTGTTCTTGGAGGCCAAGGAGAATTCTTAATGCAGGCATCTATCATAATGTCATCAGGCCAAAGAGGGGAATTGATTGTGTCAGTTATTAAATCAGTCCATTCCCACCCCACCACGCCCCAATTTTTCACAGTTTAATATAGCATTTTAACGGTATATATTGATGTAGTAGTTTAACGGTAAAATACAAGAAAACTGTTGTTGTTGTTTTATACTGAGTAGGGTGCTCCCAACTGCCTATTTTCTATTGTTCCAGATGCTTGGAAATGGGTTGACATCAATATGATTAACTAGCTTATTAATTTGAGTGTAGTTGAGTACTTGATGAGGAAAGCTGCAATATTCTGACAAGCACCCCATGGTGCTTAGAGAATGAATGGTCATTTTCTAGATGGGCAGTTTATGGGAGGATGGGATGATGATAACCTCGATATTTTAGTCCATCTTTTACAATTTGGAGCTTCTTGAAGCATTGGACTTAAGATTGCTTAGATCACCCTTCAGAGATCATACTGTGCCAGTCCTAAAATTACTCTATCTGCTTATGTTACTAGTCAGACTCTAACACCCTTAAATTTCTGGGTTCCTAATACATGAATAAGTGCTCCTCCCTTTGTGTACCTGTCTGACTATTAAGATCTGCAGGGGCAGGATGTGTGTGTTTGTGAAGTGTGTGTGCTCTTTGACATCCCATGGCTGGGAAAAGCACTTTATATGGAACGTGGAAGCAGACCTTTTCTGTTCTGGAATTCCTTTGCTGGAGACCAGGCTTGGTGCTGACCTTGGAATTCCAATCCCACAGAGGCCATGCTGGTTTTTGACTCTAGTATTTGGGCTAAGCAGACATTGCCCAGTCATGCTATTCGTCCACAAATGCTTTTTGGTTAGTGTATTTTTTTACTTGATTTTATTCCTTTATCTTGTTTAATGAGGTATTTTATAAAGGAGATTTTGGATAGACCAGAAATATTTCTCCATGACGTGCATAGTTACACTATGCTATTTGCTATGGTAATCAGTGTAGGTAGTTTTGAAAGAGTAAGTGACAAAATTATGGGGCATAAGGGTTTTTTAAAGTACAGTTTTATATGTTTTTATTTTTTATTTTGTTTTTACATTGTTTTTAATTGCTGCAAGACACCCAGAGTCATGTATTTGAGATGGGCAGCTATATAAATCAGGTAGGTAGGTAGGTAGGTAGGTAGGTAGACAAGCTACTAGCCATGATAACTGTATGATTCGGGGGGTGGAGTGTTTTTTATATTGGGACTTTTATTTTTGTAAACTGCCCGGAGTCACCATGAGTGAGTTGGGAAGCCATATAAATTGTTTAAATAAAAATATAATAAAATAAAATAAAATAATTCAACATCAGAAACAGTAGCCCTCTAAATACAAAGAAAGGATTAGAGAATAATAGTACAGCATGTTAACTTTATATAAACCTCTTGCAGCATTATGCCCCTAGGCATACTAGTGATGAATGTAGCTCATATGGACTGTGAGTGGTATGTGTCATTGGATACCGCTGAGGCTAGTGGTATGGTCCTGACCGTATCCATACATCAAGCTTCCCAGGAAGCAGAAGTAGGGAGCACCATAAAGAGCTCTAAACATGGGTCTGAGAACTAGCACTCTGTGCATTCAGACTATATGGCAAGTCATTTGGCTGCTGTGGGGAGGGAGAGGGCAGGCAGGGATATCACATTGGTGCCAGGCATGGGAGATAATGGCAGGAGGCAGAGGGAGGTCTGCTCTTCATAAAGGCAGCCTCAGTGTTTAGTACTGATGCCATGTTCCAGCCCCTTGGACTCAGCCCTGAGGCCTGGTCTTTAGAGCTTTGAAGCTTTGGCCTTCAATTACTGCTACTTAATGCAAGGTCAGCCTGTAATAAGGCTTATTTCATCCATGATTTAATTATGAATCAGAGAGTCAATCTGCTATGTGTTACCAAAGCCTGGCTGGGCATGCCCACGTGGAATAGGTGGAGGGATGGCACCAGCCATGATCCCAGGGCAGACATAGGGGTATGGCTGTTGTTATCAAAGAATCTGTGTTGGTCTTCAGGGATGCTGGCCCTAACATAACCTGATGTGAGACTCTGTTTGTGAAGTTGAGCAGTAGGGATCAGATGGGATTGTTCTTATGTACCAGTCTTCCTGCTGTTTAACAGCTTCCATGCCCAAGTTCCTTGATTCTCAGTGGCTTTCAATACCATCAATCATGTTGTCCTTCTGGACTGGTGGGGTGGGGGACACAGAAACCGCTGGGAGAGGTCATGTTAGCACAGGGTGTGGTATCATAAATAGTTTATGATTCTCTATTATATATTTCCACCCTGGGCCATACAAGTGATACCACTGAGATTCTTACCCAATGCTTGGAGTCAGTGAGGGGATGGAGAAGAGGAGGCTGGAGCTCAACCCAGCAAGACTGAGTGGCTATGGATTTTCAGGCCCCCTAGATTTGAAGAACTTCCATCTCTGGCTCTGGATGAGATAGTATTCCCCCAGACAGAATTAGTACACAATCTGGGGCTCCCTTGGACTCACAGTTTCTACCTGAGGAGCAGGTGGCAGCCATTGCTAGGAGGGTCTTCACACAACTTCCTCTTGTGCACCAGTTGTGCGTGTTCCTGGATCAGGAGGTTCTGCTCACACTCACTCATGCCTTAGTCGCTTCCCGACTGAATTACTGCAACGTGCTGTACATGGGATCAGAATCCACCAGCAAACTTTTAAAACCTATTATTTCTTTTTCTCATTTATTCAAGTGACATGACAAGCCTAGGGGTGGCTCAAAATCTATGTTCAGATATAAAAGGAGTCAGGAGATAGAAGCTAGCTAAGCCATAATTCTAGGCTGCTGAGATACCAAGATAGCCTCTGGCTTAAGAAATCTTTTGTGATGATGACATAGAGGTGATTGCAGCATTGTGGTAAATGAAGCCTAAGGATGGCAATGTAATCTGTTTAGAATGGAGGTGGGGAGGCTAATCCTATAAGCTTTCCTGGGAAAAAGTGTTCAAATTTAAGATGGGCTTCTGAAGCCAAATTCTTTTCCTGAAAAGAGAATATGTTTATTTCATAAACCGTTTTTTACCAAAAAAAAAAAA